GTTTTCATCATTAATAAAGTAAAATAAATTTTTTAAATAAGATCTTTTCCTTTATTGTTAATTAACAAATTATTTATTAAATAATAATTTTTATTGTAATTGTTTATCTATTTTTATACAGGGGGAAAAATCAATATAGGGTATTTAGTTGTAAACATGTTTGACCAATTTTTCGAGTTATCTAGGCTAGTTGGAGTCAAATTGTCTCATACTGTTGAAATAACATTATTAAAATAGAAAGAATTATTATTCTCTTTACATCAATAGTTTCTATGCATTGTATATAAATAAATTTATAATTAGTGGTGATAAATTTAATTAATTAATGTAATCTAGTTTAAGATCTAGATAAGGAAAATTAATGTTTACGTGCTATTATTTTTGTTGTGTGCTATGTTAGGATAACATTTATAGGTCATCGAAGAATTTTAATTAATCAATTTGTAATATAGAAAGTAATTTTTCACATTTTTCATTATCTAAATTCTAAAAATTAATATGATAATAACCTAAATTACTCGCTTCGTATTAATTTTACATTATTACAAAATAAAAAAAAAAATACTCTTTTTTCGTTTAATTCGTTTACCGTAGATGAATTTCAAACGTTAAAATACTTTAATATTTTTTAAAAAAAGATCTTAATTTAGAAGATGTATTTTTAATTATGAGAGTTAATTAATTTTAGATCTATCATAATTTATACAATTTTATAATTACAATGCTTTGGAGTGGATGAAATTATTTAGTGTAGTGAAAAGATTAATATTAAAGGCTACATTTATAGAAAAGTTAGATCGATAGAGACACGAAATTATTGAATTTAAGAACGATATATTTATAAATTACGTAATGTTTCCAAAAATATGGAGTAGATGCCGTACAGACGTGGAGAGAAGGTTTGATGATGAACACCTGCTTTTGATGGTTTGTCTTTTGACGAATTCGCTTCTTTTGTCGAAAGATGTTTTAGAAAAATCTGGGTGTGTACGAGGGAAGACTGACCCCACTTAAATGATTTTCAAAAAGCCAGATCCATAAATAATCTAGGAATCGTAGGCGTTATTGATTAGCAGAAAATTATGATTATATGTTCAAAATCTTAATAAATACGGATGCTATGCGATAGAGTTATAGTTATGTACTTAAAAGCCTTAACGAATATAATTTTGCAAGGAAAAAAATTACGATTACGTGTTTAAAATCTTAATGTACGTAAAAAAATATCTTTATTGCGGTATTTTATGTACAGTACATTGAATACATGTATATATATAAATTTTGTATAAATGTATTTACTGTATATATTAGCTATGCCTGTACAGCTATATATTTGAAGAGTAGTCATCTCAACCGAATTCCGTTTTTATAATTCACACTTGAGAAAATAGCAGCTGTTATTTTATTTCATAAACAAAATTTTTTCGAAAGGTTTAAGAAAAAGTGTTTTGACATGAAATTGGATGTGCATTTCATTAAAATAAATGTCCTTTGTTAAAGTCACATCTCCGTCATTCTTATTATTCTAGAATAAAAAAAAAATTAATTTGAATGGGAAAGGTGTAGTTTCGCTTATGTATAAGAAGAAAAAACAATTTTTACAGTTTAATGAAATTATTCTATCTTTTTTTTAAAAATCTTATAATTAAGCTAGATTAGTCATAAAAAAACTTTAAAACTTTACGCAAAATTAATATTATGGCGTGTATAAAATATAAAATATATTTTTCTATCAGAAGCCAAATGGGATTATTTCTCTGCTTCCGTCTAAATTGAAAGAGTCTGGCATACTAATTGTGAACAGCATTATAACAATACTTCCGATCCTTTTATACGCATAAATCTAACTAAACTTTGTGATCCAGTAACTTCCGTTAGAAAAGAACTGTTATCCAATAGGAAGTACCTATTTGATTCGCCTACGCCCATGTATATGCACCTCCTACTTTATTGACTTCCCTGAAGTAGTCATGTTCACAAACTCATTAGATGGAGTTCATTATTCTATCTCGCAGACCATTTCTTCAAGATTTATGTCCGGTTAAAAATAATATTATCCACTGATTTTGCCATATCTTCTCCTTACGACGGATCTTTTATTGTTATAAAAAATATTTTTTAATTTAGTTTAAAAAAAAATTCAGCGTTAATTTGTCGTTTTAAATCGTTTAAATTAATAGAAGAAAATATAAAAATTAAATCGATACGTTGAAAGTAGACAGGTTAACCACTTTTTGAACTACAAGACGCATCCATGGCAACGGCTTCCTAGAAATACGGTTTAGAATAATCACGTGATTAGCAATATCACGTGAGGATAAGTATAACAGGTACTTACTATTTTTTTAAAACACTATAGCGTTTTAATTTAAGAATTACATGCTAGGATTTCCTCCCTTTTGGAAAGGGGTGGAATTATTTAATAAATAAAAAAATAATAATTCTGTAGATTTGAAGTATGAGTAACTGCAGTATATGTGAAATTTGAGATAATAAAAATTCGACATTATTCTATTTTCGCTTTTATATCTTAACCTGTGAAGAAATATCGAACGTCCATGTTCCACATTTTTTTATATATTTTTTTTATTAAGGGAATGTCATGATAAATGACGCTAGCTGACTAAAATCTCTCAGGATATAAATCAGGTATATATAAATATTAAATCCCTTATTTCTAAAAGATATCTTTGGTTACATCGTTTATCCTAAGCAAGATATAAACAGTATGTAGACAAAAGTCACCTAGAAATAACAGTATATACATACGTATATATATAGCCTATATCTGAAATACATTGATTTGTTTTCTCTATTTAGAGGTTTTTCAGATTTATTTATAAAAGTAAGGATATTTTAAATGTATTATTAGTTAAGTAAATATATTCGGAAAATATAAAAGTAGTTTTTGCATTAACTGTAAATAATTAAATTTAGAAAAATGATAAGATAATTAATAAATCGTTACTTTATTTTTCTAAAAATCGCTTTAAAAAAATGTTTCCTTCTGTGAAACGCTAGACGATAACACAAAAATCATTTTAGGACTTTATACCAATTTATTTAATTCTTTTGCCAAATTAAAAGTTTTCAAATTTAAAAATAATAGACTAAGCGGTGACATATATACAGATTTATGACATACGGTAACACACATAAAATACAGAAAAAGAGATGTTAATGAGTTATATCATTAACATTTCTTTCCCTTCCTAATTCTGAGAAATCATTTCTACGTTTCTAAAGTTGTATTAATGCGTCAGAATCTAGATTTAAATAAAAGTTTTAAAAATTTCGATTAAATGAATTATATTACCATATTTTATGTCCAGTTTCCGGATTAGTTTTTTCTTTCTTTCTTTCTTTCTTGCTGCATTTTTTTCCCCGAATGTTTTTTCGTGTTTAATATAAGTATCGATTTTCGATGTTCATTTCTTTCTTTTTTTTCCTCCCGCTAATTTCTTAAATCCTTGCTTCATTTATTTCATGCAAAACTTATGAGTTTGTATTTTCTTATCTATATGCATTACTTTTTTTCTCCATAGAAAATTTCCACTTCGGAAACTTTTAAATAATATATAGGCCTATATATATATATATATTTTTTATACTCCTACACGTGTATTTTGCATATATATTTACATGCGATTCTTTCTTTTTTACTTTAGATTTCTTTCTTTTTTTTTAAATATTTACTTTCAAGTATTTATTCGTTCCGCTCATTTTAGTCGCATGCCTCGTTCTACTCGTGTTTTGTTCCATTAAACGAAACAGATAAAGCGAGGGAAAAGAATCCGAATAAACTTATTTACACGCAAAATACATAAACTTATCAAAAAAATAATAATAATAATAAAATTTATGAAGTAAAATTTCTGAATGCTTAAAAGATCCGAGTAGAAGTTTTGATATTTTCGATTATGAATAAATCCATCAATAAAAAAAAATAAATAAATAAAATAAATAAAAATAAAAAATACATAAATAAATAAAGGACAATAAAAAGCGACATCTACACAATTCGATATTTCTAACTTTAAAAAAAAAATTTAAATTATATTTATAAGTAATTAACCGACAAACTAATTTAAAAAAAATAAATTGCGTTTAAAAATAGTAATTAATCTTTTTAACATTTGAAATTATTTTAATAAAAACTAATTTATTTATTTATTTATTTATATTTAAAATTATAATCTCGCACACAATTATAATTATTCTGTTGGTAAACCAAACGATCGATGGATCGGCGCGCATGCTCAATCGATGCGAAAAGCTTGTGACGTCACGCAAACTAAAGTGGAAGGAAGTATGACTATCGTCTGGCTATACTTATGTTTTGGTATTTTCTGACAGGTTGTCGGCAGTCAGCTTAGAAAACATTGGAACTGTTGAGAAGACGAAAGAAAGGACACCGAGCATCAGTAAATATGGCCATATAAGTAACGGAAAACTGCCAACAACACCTTATATCGAAATGGCTAAGAAGAAACAGAAAGGAGCTCAGGATGACCCAGTGCCTAGTTCACTGTTCATATTTGGTAGTAATAACATTATAAGAAGATGCACCAGATTCCTAATAGAATGGCCATATCCTTTCATTAGTGTTTGTGTTTATTTTGTGAGAGAATTTATTATTTTTATTTTTTTTTGGTGGATAATGTACTGGAATAATGTAAGTTTTTATCGTATTTTTTTTACTATTTAGATAACGTAAGTAAAAACGATATATTTTTTTCTACTTTATATACCGAATTTTCGTCAAATTAATAAATGTTTTATCGAATAAATCATTACGGAAGTACGAGATGCTCTGAACCAGGAAATACTATCGATCTTAGATCACGTGAGGTGACGTAACTTCACTAGCCGATCGCTCTTCACTTCCGGTTGAAAGGGGAAATTTCATTATCGACGATTGGTTAATTTATATATAGTTTATTTCTGATTTCTTCGCTATTTTGCATGTCGAATTTCTTTTAAATTAGGTGAATTAGAGAATTGTTTATTATTTTATTTATTTTAGAAAATAAATTATATATATATATATAGATAAATATAGGTGTGCGTGTACATTTTTGTTTTCTTTTTCCATTTTAAATTTCATCGTTTTTTTTTGTTATATGACTCGAATATACGCCATCTATACGATGTTTTTGGAACCAGTTTGTCTGTTTTTACTATTGATATTCATGCTCTATCAGATATTAAAAGTTTAATTATTATTCTACAAAAACTTATATTTTAACTCGGTATTTATAACTAAACACACTATGCAGTATTATATTGCATAAATTACTAAAATAAATATGAAATAATTTAAATTTTTTAGTATTTTGCTATTTAATAATTGAAAATAGACTTACAAAATTGGCTTAGAATCAAAAATTGGCTCTAGAAATCTATAATAAATTGCATTATTTTCGTAATCTCAGTTTACGTAAAATATAGTCATTTTTAAAAATTTTTTTTCTTTATTTATATTTGCTATTGATAAGATATTGCTTATTTATGCATAAGCTTTTAATATTCTTACACTAAATTGATGATTTTGAAAATAAGTTTGTTATTTATTCATTTAAAATGTTTCGTCCCATATATCACTTATTAATTCTTAATGATGTATTATAAGATTTTTTTTTGTTTTGCTTTATTCATTATGCAAACAGTAATATATTTTATAGTAAATTATGCTATAGAATATTTAGACTGTGCATGTATAACCTTTTTTTCCTATATGATTTTATATTCTAAAGCGAATATCTTAAAGTTGCAATTTTCTCTTTATGATTCTTTAATTGTTTTATTCCATTTTATATAATATTTATAGGATATTTTTTATTTAATTAACTTTATATATATGCATATAATTTAATTTTGTTTTCATAATTTGGATGAAATCATCGTTACTCCTAATAGTTTTTAAATAAACATACGATTTTCTCAAACAACTAAAAAATTATATTATATTTATAGAGGAGTATTTTATCTCATTAATTTATATAATTTTAAAACACATTTTTTATTAAATTATGTTAGATATGCAAATATATATATATATATAACTGAGTAATTTTCATATTATTTAACAATAATATATAAATATTAAATGCTGTATAAAACAAAATTTGTTTCATAATAGTCGTGTGTTACTGAGTTATACAAGCTTTTAAATTTTTCAAATATATACAGATTATAAAACTATATATATTATATTCTATTTTCCTTGCAAGCTTTATAATTATTATTTAAAATATTTTTTACATTAACATACATCAGTCTTACATGATAACAAACCATAATTTTCAACAACCGAAAACCTGATACGCAATTTTGGTCACACCTGCTCAGACGCAGCTGGTACTTATGACGTCAGCCAATTGCCTGCAGTATCTGGTCGCATCATGTGAACATTACCTGCGCCAGGTACACGCTTGATCGATCCTTTACCAGCATGGAATTTACATTGTGTTCCGTTACTGTTGTTATAATTTTCATCGATTCTATTTTACATGTACTAGACTGATGGAATGGGACTTTCTTACAATGCATAACTTTTATGGGCGAGTTAATTTCAAACAAACGAATTAATTACATTTTTATGCTAATTATAAAAAAATATTTAAAAAATTAATAGAATTTTAATACATTTAGATATAGTTTAAATACTANTTATTTATATTTAAAATTATAATCTCGCACACAATTATAATTATTCTGTTGGTAAACCAAACGATCGATGGATCGGCGCGCATGCTCAATCGATGCGAAAAGCTTGTGACGTCACGCAAACTAAAGTGGAAGGAAGTATGACTATCGTCTGGCTATACTTATGTTTTGGTATTTTCTGACAGGTTGTCGGCAGTCAGCTTAGAAAACATTGGAACTGTTGAGAAGACGAAAGAAAGGACACCGAGCATCAGTAAATATGGCCATATAAGTAACGGAAAACTGCCAACAACACCTTATATCGAAATGGCTAAGAAGAAACAGAAAGGAGCTCAGGATGACCCAGTGCCTAGTTCACTGTTCATATTTGGTAGTAATAACATTATAAGAAGATGCACCAGATTCCTAATAGAATGGCCATATCCTTTCATTAGTGTTTGTGTTTATTTTGTGAGAGAATTTATTATTTTTATTTTTTTTTGGTGGATAATGTACTGGAATAATGTAAGTTTTTATCGTATTTTTTTTACTATTTAGATAACGTAAGTAAAAACGATATATTTTTTTCTACTTTATATACCGAATTTTCGTCAAATTAATAAATGTTTTATCGAATAAATCATTACGGAAGTACGAGATGCTCTGAACCAGGAAATACTATCGATCTTAGATCACGTGAGGTGACGTAACTTCACTAGCCGATCGCTCTTCACTTCCGGTTGAAAGGGGAAATTTCATTATCGACGATTGGTTAATTTATATATAGTTTATTTCTGATTTCTTCGCTATTTTGCATGTCGAATTTCTTTTAAATTAGGTGAATTAGAGAATTGTTTATTATTTTATTTATTTTAGAAAATAAATTATATATATATAGATAGATAAATATAGGTGTGCGTGTACATTTTTGTTTTCTTTTTCCATTTTAAATTTCATCGTTTTTTTTTGTTATATGACTCGAATATACGCCATCTATACGATGTTTTTGGAACCAGTTTGTCTGTTTTTACTATTGATATTCATGCTCTATCAGATATTAAAAGTTTAATTATTATTCTACAAAAACTTATATTTTAACTCGGTATTTATAACTAAACACACTATGCAGTATTATATTGCATAAATTACTAAAATAAATATGAAATAATTTAAATTTTTTAGTATTTTGCTATTTAATAATTGAAAATAGACTTACAAAATTGGCTTAGAATCAAAAATTGGCTCTAGAAATCTATAATAAATTGCATTATTTTCGTAATCTCAGTTTACGTAAAATATAGTCATTTTTAAAAATTTTTTTTCTTTATTTATATTTGCTATTGATAAGATATTGCTTATTTATGCATAAGCTTTTAATATTCTTACACTAAATTGATGATTTTGAAAATAAGTTTGTTATTTATTCATTTAAAATGTTTCGTCCCATATATCACTTATTAATTCTTAATGATGTATTATAAGATTTTTTTTTGTTTTGCTTTATTCATTATGCAAACAGTAATATATTTTATAGTAAATTATGCTATAGAATATTTAGACTGTGCATGTATAACCTTTTTTTCCTATATGATTTTATATTCTAAAGCGAATATCTTAAAGTTGCAATTTTCTCTTTATGATTCTTTAATTGTTTTATTCCATTTTATATAATATTTATAGGATATTTTTTATTTAATTAACTTTATATATATGCATATAATTTAATTTTGTTTTCATAATTTGGATGAAATCATCGTTACTCCTAATAGTTTTTAAATAAACATACGATTTTCTCAAACAACTAAAAAATTATATTATATTTATAGAGGAGTATTTTATCTCATTAATTTATATAATTTTAAAACACATTTTTTATTAAATTATGTTAGATATGCAAATATATATATATATATAACTGAGTAATTTTCATATTATTTAACAATAATATATAAATATTAAATGCTGTATAAAACAAAATTTGTTTCATAATAGTCGTGTGTTACTGAGTTATACAAGCTTTTAAATTTTTCAAATATATACAGATTATAAAACTATATATATTATATTCTATTTTCCTTGCAAGCTTTATAATTATTATTTAAAATATTTTTTACATTAACATACATCAGTCTTACATGATAACAAACCATAATTTTCAACAACCGAAAACCTGATACGCAATTTTGGTCACACCTGCTCAGACGCAGCTGGTACTTATGACGTCAGCCAATTGCCTGCAGTATCTGGTCGCATCATGTGAACATTACCTGCGCCAGGTACACGCTTGATCGATCCTTTACCAGCATGGAATTTACATTGTGTTCCGTTACTGTTGTTATAATTTTCATCGATTCTATTTTACATGTACTAGACTGATGGAATGGGACTTTCTTACAATGCATAACTTTTATGGGCGAGTTAATTTCAAACAAACGAATTAATTACATTTTTATGCTAATTATAAAAAAATATTTAAAAAATTAATAGAATTTTAATACATTTAGATATAGTTTAAATACTAATAATCTTCTTATTATATTGAATAATTCGAAAATCAAATAGAATGATTTTTAAAAATTAAATGCAAAATATATAACAACCTACTGTAGATCCACTTTGTAATTTATAAGGATTGATGATTCTTGCATTAAATTTTTCATGCACGACTAAAAGTATTTTAATTTTTAATTAATTTAAAATGCATAAATTCTGAGAAATGCATACGAATATAATTCGTTAAAATTAGTTGAAATAAAAAGTTATATAAAAAATGCAGATTTATTGATACAGAAATACATTAAAATAATAATATGAATTATTTATCGAATTTATTTTCTTGTTTTAAAAAAGATAAAGGCTTTTCTTTAACAATTTAAACTGTACATGAAATGAAAACATATATTTTTAATGTTAAATACAAAATGTACAATAGTGTTTTAGGGTTTGTAAGTATCAATCACAGCTACATTTTTGCAGTTTTTCGTAGTCAGCAGCATATATATGCGTTAAAAAAGCTATGTAAAATTCGAAACACATTTAGATGTTCATCATTTTTCATGAATCTAGACTTTATTTCTCATCCTCCGCACATGCTAACGGACTCCATTGCAGGTCATGCCCGCCAGTAATGGCAAAATCAGGCCGGCCGTTGATTGGTGTGCTGCAGCTCAGCGGAAAAAAATTCTATTTATTCTCTACATTTTCATTTTCCATGCAGTTTAATCTATCTAAAATAGATCGTTAATATCAATATAAAAAATACTACTATATTCTTATGCGGGTAATACAATTAATTATTAATAATGTTTTTGTAAAGTATTTATTGTTATATTTATAAAAAAAATATATCATTAAGAGA